CTTGAAGTTCCTCTTTTTGGACCTCCCTGGTAACCTCCTTAGCAACGGACTTTTACCCGGGAAGAGGCCCCACGTGGGGACAGGCTGGGGAAACCCTATAAAGGCCACCTGGAACAAAGGAAGGGCGCGCATGTGCTGCCCGAGCCCATGTGCTGCTTGCGCCCATGTGGCTGAGCACATGTGGTGCCCGAGCACATGTGTCGCCCGCATCTCCCCTCTTGAGATGTGTACTTTCATGCTTTCGTGTCTAATGCTAGGATGTGTGCAGGGGCTCTCTCCACCCTCGGAGAAGCCCGCCTTCTCTCTGGACGCGTTACTCTCACTCTCTTACTCCCCATTCCCCTGCTTATCTGCTTATCCCTTTCTCTCCCTCTCCAAAAATCCTCCAAATAAAATCTATTTATTTCACTGCTTTTCTACTCCTGAAATTCCTTTCTGCGAGGCGAGACAAGAACCCAGTAACCCTGGGTCCCGGGTGGCAGAGGCGGGTGAGGAGAAAGTGACCATCTTTCTCTTCCCGGCTTCACATGAGTCACCCGTGGGGCCCACCGACATCAAGGAGAAATGCCTCCCTGATTCACTTCATTCTTGAAGACGGCAGCAGGAAGTTACTTGGAACACATGGCATAAGATTTATGATGATCATCTGGGTTGTAGTTGGGAGTAGAGAGTCTCTGTGGCTCTATGGCCACACAGGACTCTATGGCCACAGTTTGCTCATCAGTGGCAAACGATTCAGTTCAGTCCCTATGGGCCTCCTTGTGGATGATGATTGTGAGAGGGCTTTGCTTCTTTATTCCCTGTGTTAGTTTGGAATGACTCAGGCATATAAGAGAGAAGATACATGTGCTTTGTTCTCAGCACTCGATTGCATTGGTTCTGGAATTCAGCTCCCTTTTCCCCACCTACTTTCATCTACTAATAAATCTCCAGTTCCCCATTCAGAAAATTATCACTCTCCCTCCGCCTTCATCTTTCAAAATTTTAATCATGGAAAACTGCACAGGACATTTGTCACCTTAAACACTTTGGTTAAATAGTAAAATAGTACCTAGTACATTTACATTGTCAGGCAAACAAACCATTTATTTAAGATGCCTGAATGTTCTGGAGTCTGGTTATAACTCCTATCTCCAAGGTGGAACCACTGAATGAAACTGTCCATCTCAATTTCTTACTTCCCAGATGTTTCACTTGTAATGAGTACATCACAGGAACAATGTTTTTGGTGAATCAAGTCAAGGATTATTACTAGACTATCAAATTGTTAGATTTTTCTATTCCAGATGCCAAATTAGCAAGAATTAAGTTTGGAGATAAAGGCAGCTATATTTTCTACCGAATTTAGAACCGACCTAAGCATGAAGCCTACGGTGGAAAGTAAAAGGACTTCTGGCAACACTCAAGTTTCTGGATTAATAATGCTTGAAGCTATTCCCTATAAATTGTGCCATTATTGGAATAGTAAGTCCGCTCATTTTTGATGTAAAAAGGTGGGGCACTGAGGTAAAGGTGGAGGTAAGTGGTCAGTGTAGTAGAAGGTGGGGGTAGTATGACACTGTATGCATGAGATTAAGAGCATGGTAAATCATGGTGCCACAAATAAAATTTTTCCATTAAAGAATTTCAATTAAAAATTAAAATCTAGAGTTTTTGTGTTACTTCAAATGCTCTTGTCAATGGGTATATCTCAAAACTCTAAGAAGACAGTCACTGTCATTGTCATTGTCCTCCTGTTGTTCACTGATTTGCTTGAGCAGGCCCAGTAACATTGTGAGACTTGTTATTGCATTTGGCATATCGAATATGCCACGGGGAGCTTGCCAGGCTTTGCCATGCGGGCAAGATACTCTTGGTAGCTTGCTGGGCTCTCCAAGAGGGTACTGTTAGAATTTTATCTCTGTGATTATCTTATGATTACACAATATTTAATATTTCACAAAGATGTTTTTAATTTCAGCATTGTCTTACAACTGCATGCCTCCTAGATATTCAGGCATGCAATGTTTCAACACTAATTTCACCTTTATTATGTCAACAGCCATTAAGAGACCGGAACAAATGAAGGAGGAACCTTAGCTTTAAGTCCACAGCTGATTCTTGTCTCTAAGAGGGAGGACTGGTGTGCACCAGGCCAGATTGTCGGTATAGCTGGTTGGTGCCATGTAGGCATTAGATGGGTAGACTGATAACAATGTCTATTTTCTCAAGCACTATAGGATTGAGTTGCTCAAGCTTGAATTCATGAAAAATTTTGTTTTCTGTTTTTAGGCTTGTTCCCAGGGCTTTCTGGCATTTTAGCTAATTCCTTCCCTTTCGCCTCACATCTGGTCACTACTCAGGCACTTTGGCAACAGAGAAGAGAAGCTTCGATAAGGGAAATACAAAATAGGTCACATATTTGGGATATGTACTACATGTTCTTCCATGTGGTCTCCCAGGAATTCAGTCTGTGCCCAGTTAAAACCCTCACACCTGCCCCACTCCGTGTTGGACAAGAACACAATGGCAGGCTTCTCTATTCTCAGATTCCCCAAGTTTCCTTCACACCCCATACATCCTTCACACAACACAAAGGGAACCCTGATTTTAGTGAAAATCAAATGAATGGCCCAAAGGAGGTTTTATCACTGTATCACTGTCATCCTGTTGTTCATCGATTGCCTCGAGCAGGCCCCAGTAACGTCTCCTTCATCCTACCCTGAGATTTTAAAAAATGCCACATTCGAGGTTCTTTCAGGGTGAGGAGAATGAGATGCATCATTGTTATTGGTTACCAAAAATAAGACAGCATCTTCAAACAGGGAGGTAAAACAGCTAAAAAAACAGCCGCAGACTGAATTTGCCTTTTTATTTGATTCTGGGTTTCTGATATTCATTTCTGGAGGTTTTGTGTTTTTCATTCTGACCCTCTCCTATTTCTATCTAATTCTCTCATCTCTGTCTATTGTTCCTTACAACCTCTATAAATAGACGGACGACAGTTGGTTAAAGACCTCTAGTGTTTGAAGCAATAGTTGAACTTTCTTTGCCCATTGGCAATTGCTTTATATTAAATAATGGAGTCATCTGGAAATAAGGATTTAATTTCTTCCTTTTTCTAGTCAGACCATCCTTTAGGGGATAACTTCCATTTTCTTTGTTCATCTTCTCTGGAATCCTCCCTCCCTCTCTCCCTCCCTCTCCCCCTCACGGGTTTTGTCTGCAATTCAAGAGATTGAACATTGAATTAGGATCAAAGTAAGCGCTGTGTCCCTGAGTCACATCTATGACCCCAAACTTCACATGTTTTAGACACAAACATGATCTTTAGGGTCAATAGTCATCAAGAAAAAGAAGTTACAATATTTTGCAAAGTATCTATACTCGAACTGCTTTTAGGGTCAGATTACAGGAGGACAAACTATCATCTTTTGGGGGGTAGGGAAGGTGTCTTATCTTTCCAATCTAGCTGTGTATGACAAAAAGTGGGCACTGAATATTCAGTGCAGTGAGTCACAAATGAAGGAATAAATCACAAAGCCATGAGATTCAAGATTTAGTTACTGCAGGACAATTTTAGAAACATGGAGATACGATTCTTGGAAAGAGAAGCACCGAGTTGCTGAAGATATAATTATTAGACAGGAAAATTACCCAAAACCCTTAGTCAGGTGGATGCTAATGGCAAGATTCCCTTTTCATCACACTTGTTCACACTTCAAAACAAACCTACAGGATGATGAAAAAGAAAATCCCTTAGCTACAAGTTTAATGATAATTGGATCCCTGAATTATAGCAGCAATGGCTGAACTTTACTTCTGACCTATTTTATGCCATCAGAGTTTACAAACATTGGCTTGATTATTGCAACAACACTTTAAGGTTGTCCTTAATTTTATTTTCAGATGGAGAAACAATAAGCAGGAGATAAAGAACCTACCAAAATCAACTAGTCAAACTAACAGTCTGGAGTCTGGGGTTAAAATCTGATTCTAAATGTACTTTTCTAACTTCTAGATAATTCACTGTGACAAGTAATATGTCAAACATCTATCTAGACAGATTTGTGGTTCTTAAAAATTTCACTGGGGAAAAACTGCATGAATTTTAATTGTAACCATTTATACATTTTATCGGTATCAATCATATTCATATTGTTGACTAATACTATTTCTAGAACTTTTCCACCAAACAAAACTAAAATTCTATACCTAAAGAGCAACAAGCACTTCTGATTTTCCTACTCCCAGGCCCCAGAAAATCATTATTATATTTCTTTCTGTGCTTTTGACCAATCTGAGTACCTTATAACATAAAGGACTTGTTCTTTTGCGATTAGATTTTCACTTGGAATGAGGTCCTCAAGCTTCACCCATGCGATTACATGTGATATGTTTTACTTAAGGTTCAATAATATTCCATGGTGTATCACATTTTGGACTGTTTACAGTGGCCATTGTTAATAATGCTGCAGTATACACCGTGTGCAAAAAGCACTCTAAGATACAGTTTTCCACTCTTTTAGGCATATTCCCCAAAGTGGAATTGTCTCAGGTGGTAATTTCATTTTTTCTTTTTTGATGGGCCTCCTTACTGCTTTTTATAGAAATGACACTATTATACATTTCCAGCAGCAGTGCAGAAAGGTAGACATTCTTGCTTTAGAGTTAACTACAAGCATTAGTAACAACCTGATCAAATAGCTCATTTTGCAGTATCAAGTAATGATAAGTTTTGAAAATTTAACTTATCTAAAACTCTGGGCCTTCTAATTCTGATCTAGTTCTGTAACTAAAGTTAGGCACTATATAAACATATGCTAAGTGTTTGTAAACATGGCTCATCATACCAATTTGGAAGAGGATTAACTATTATTTCCAGAGAGAACAAGAAATGGAAAAACAAAACAAATGAACACAAAATAAGACCAGTGTTGAATCAGGGAAAAGGCATCGCCAAAAAATATCACTTTATCCTCAGAAAGAAGTATATGCATATACATAAACTGCATTCTTACCCTGGTTTTGGCATCGATCTTAGCTCCTCGATCAAGTAATAGTTTTACCATATTGGCATTTCCTCTTTTTGATGCGACATGTAAAGGTGTAATGTCATTCTGTGGAACAACAGGAAACAAAATTGGCATCATAAATTTGACCAAAACATTGCTTCCAAAATAATCCCAAATATATCCTTGTATAATACAAATAAACATTGTATATATACAAATAAACATTGATTTTCCATCGTTTTTCTTTTAATCATGGCCGACCCGAGTTCGATTCCTCCGCCCCTCTCGGAGAGCCCGGCAAGCTACCGAGAGTATCTCGCCCGCACGGCAGAGCCTGGCAAGCCACCCGTGATGGATTCGATATGCCAAACACAGTAACAACGAAATCTCCAACGGAGACGTTACTGGGCCCGCTCGAGCAAATCGATGATCAACGGGAGGGCTTTTTACCTTTACCTTTCTTTTAATCATCAAGGGTCTAAATACTTCCCCAACATTTCTCTCTTGACTATAATTTCTTTCAGAAGGACCAGGGTTGGAGCAATAGTACAGTGGGTAAGGCGTTTCCCTTGCATATGGTCAACTGGAGTTTGATCCTTAGCATTCCATATGGTCCCTCAAGCACCATCAAGAATGACTGAAGAGTGCAGAGCCAGGAATTAGCCCCTGACACCAGGTGTGACAAAAACAACACAAATCAAACCCAAACCAAAAGACAAAAGGAGCCCAAGGCCAGAAAGATTTTGCCTTGCATGCAGCTGACCCTGATGACCTGGCAATGCACATGGTCCTCTCAATCATACCAGGAGTCAGCCCATCTCTCTCCACTCCTGCAAAAAGGAGATCTCAAAGGTCATATTTAGAGAAGGAAGCTTTACTTTTTGTTTGCAGTGATTTTATAATGAGATCAGAATTTTGTTTTCTCCCAAATTTTGTACTTTTACATTAACATATTTTGCTACAATAGTGGCTAATGATTTGTCGACTAAGAGCCTAGATTGAGTTTAAGGAATGCATTACTCAGAGCCTTCTCTGGGTTCTTTTGAGTGAAAGAGGTCAAGGAGAGTGAGTTACATAAAATGGGCAATCTTTCCTGACTACAGAGAGTCACCAGAGTTCTCTGCAGTGAGAACTGGAGAGTTGGATAAAACGTAATCACAGGCATTGGTGGCAATCACACAGAACACTAATGAAAAAACCAGTTGTTGAGAAACTGCTGTTTTGTTAGGATAATCTTAAATTCTAATCATGCTTTATTGGTATAATACTTCTTCCCTTTAAACACCTTACAGGTGTTATGATTGTTTCAAGACTGTAAAACACCTTATAAAGCACAAAACTTCTTATTTGGTTCCTCATTCTTGAGTAACAGCAACATGGGCTAATGATTTGTTGTCAACAAAAGTTAATTGTATAATAAAGGAGTTAAGTTTATGGAGAAACTTGTTCTTGGATAGCGGATACAACATAAGAGTTGCCAGATTTGATGATTTTTCTGTTAGAACTTTTGAACTTTTCTCTATTTCATTTAATACTCAGAATTCTCACAATTCCATAAATATTTTGAACTGCAATGTCTATTTTACAGATATGGACACCGTCAGCAAAACCAGGATTCATTTCAAATCTGACTCAAGTACATGCCTTTTACACAGCACCTTATGGCAAAACATTTCAAACAGATGTAAAGTCTGAGAGAATAGGAATGAGTTTTATGAGTCTTCACCATTGATAATTCAATAACTATCAATCTTTCCTAATATTAATACCTCAACATCTTTACATTGTTTTCTTACTGAGAGGATTTAAAAGGGGAAAATAATTTTCAGCATCATTTTTTTCACGCATAATCACAAAAAAATCTTTTAAAACAAAATACCACAATATCATGATAACAATTAAAGCATGAAAAACTGTTCTTCACAACAATACTGTTAAAGTTTAATTTCTTCCATTATTTTGAATTATCTCAGTTGGGTGTTTAAATTAAAAGGTCTACATGTTGCATCAGATTAAAATCAGACTCTCAAAGTCTGCATAATTTATTTGGTAAGATTTCTACATTATAAATTTGGCTAACTGTAAGAACAAAATAGAGTTTAACATAGAAAACCCTTTTCCCGTGGGTTTTCTATGAACTTCTTGTTAAGCGTTTTTGGATATTAAATGTTCTCCAATCTGACGAACCCTTTTGACCTGACTATTCTTAGATGCTAAATTATAAGTCAGCAATGCATTCATTAGATGAAGAAGAAAGAGATCTGAATAAAATAAATTTGTTCTAGAAATGATGGTGGCAAATAGATTTAGTATTTCTAGACCAGGGTAGGTAAACCTTTTTCCAAAGAACCAAGATAACAAATATTTTTGGTTTTGCCTGCCATAAATCTCTATTCCAATTATTTCTCTAACAGTCATATACAAGCAGTTATAGTTAGGGAATGAGAATGGCTGTGCTTCAATAAAACTTTATTTACAAAAATAGACATGGCAAGTTTGGCCTGGAAGCAATCATCTCCTGTCCCTGCAGACAAACTAGCTTATGAACGTAAAACAACCTACTGTGCATAGCATATTCTTTGGTCCTCAAGATAGTAAGAGGCCTTATTAGTGTGAGGAAAAGGTTGAAAGAAGAACTTTATTTCTTGTTGACCTTATGATTATTTTGCTTCTCTCTCGCAAGTCCAACAGCCCTAAAGAAGCATAGTGGATGGATTATCATACTGAATGCTCCCTGGCCAGAGTGCGATATGATTCATCACTTCCCCGTGTGAGTCAGGCCGTACATGCTATTTCCCTTTAAAAATGTGCCCTGGCCTAGTTGAGAAAGACTTAATTAACCTTTATCACAAGTAGGCTAATTTTAGTGAGAGGAAGAGCTGTATAATTTTGCTCTCTTCCATATTCATGTACTCTCTCATATAGTGATATGTGGATGTCAAAAGGGTGCTTTGAATTTTTAACTCCCACAGATTTTTACACATCTCTGAGCGCCCCCCCCCCCCGAAGAAATGCTTTATATTTCTGTAACACTTAAAAAAAAAGTGTTATAGAGGGCTTACACTTACATAAACTTGAATTTATTTTCACAACCATCTACCGAAAAAAAAATTCCTTAATCTCTTTGGCAGAGGACTAAAACTGGTTAGTAATAAAAATGCTTTATGCCCTACTATGCACAAGGCCTGGTGTCACATTTCCAATTGTTTAAGTAACCAATCAATCACAGAATCCCAACATTCCCAAAGTTCAATGCTGCCCTAGACAAAGGAATTGCTTAAGAAAACCCTCAAATGCTGCTGGTGAAATTTAAATTTGTATATGCTTGCTGGTATGCGATTTGGTAGAACATATGAAAAACCTTTAAATCTACAACAACAAACCAAGGCTGTGGTTGATGGCCACAGCAGAAAAAGTAGGAAAGTAGTAGGCAATTGCTGCGCTTAGAGAGATGTTCTCCATGCTGTCAGAATAGAGGGAAAGTTGAGTGGGAGAACTGAACCCAGGTCACATTTCTGGCACCTTGTCCGAAGCATACGCAAGGACAGCCCATATCTGGGGAAATGTGCAGCCTGTAGCAGCCTCAAGCAAAATGTAAATTCTGCTCAACATTTTTTTAAATTTTAGACATTATCACTTGTAATAATGTCATTTATTTATTTATTTAGGTGGTAGTGGGGGGGGGGGGGAGGTTAGAACACACCTGGTAATGCTCAGGGGTTACTCCTGGCTCTGCACTCAGGAGTCACTCCCAGCAGTACTCAGGGGACCACAAGGGATGCCGGGGATTGAACTCAGGTTGGCCAAATGAAAAGCACGTGCCTTCCCCACTGTGCTCTCTCTCCAGCCCCTTCTGCTAAACTCTTGACTAAAGTGACTCAACTTTCTACACTTACAGCCTGATGGAAGGGGTGTGCCCATTTCCAGACACAGCTATTATTTACCCCATTCTCCCATTATAATATAGCTCCCCGTGACGTACTCGATATGCCAGACACAGTAACAACAAAGTCTCCAATGGAGACGTTACTGGGCCCACTCGAGCAAATTGATGATCAACGGGAGGGCCTTTACTTTATATATTGTATACAGTTTATTTTGCATTATACCTGGTGAAAAGAGGGAATTACATGCACTGAAAATTAAGGAATGTTAGCAATGAGGGAAAATTCTTAAGACAGAGTCAAAGCACATATTTGATAAGAAAAACCTCAATATCCAGAGTAAATTCCTTTGCCTGGCTCACTGATAGATGTCACACAACTGAGGAAAAAAAATCAGAATATAAAGACATATTAATACGAAGGACCTAAAACAAAGGCCTAAAAAAAGAGTGGAAAATCAGAAAAGAGCATGTACGAACTCGGAGTCAATATATACCAGCAGACCGAAGTGGCATAAGGAGAAGAGAAAGAAGGGACAGGGGGAATATCTGAAGAGATGATGGTCAAGAATAATCTCACAGTAACAGATACATAAACAAATCATAACATTGTTTGTCAAAATGATGTAATATGGAAAAATACTGATATTTGCATATCCTGAAAATAAATATTCTCAAGATGAGAATTCTGTACTTTATCCTTAAAGCTGAGAGAAAAAGAAAGACTTTTAAATATAAAAGCTAGAACATCCATTACCAACAGGTCCGCTATTTAAAATATATTCGAGGAAAGGTTTCAGGCAGTAGGAATGATTTCAGACAGAAATGAAAATCTGCACTAGTAGATAAATCACAAAAATCGAGTGTAGAAATAGAAACAATTAAATGTGTGGATGTCAAGATAAGAAAAATTAAAAGCATGTCACCAACCACATCTAGATGGGAGGAAATAATTGGAATTACATTTTTTCAGTCTCTTACACTATATGTAAAGTGACAACACTTGAAAGTGGGCCTAAATAATATGGGAAATATATTAATAAATAAGTGTTAAAAAGACGCCAAATAAGACAAAAATTTGCTCTCAATTTTATACATAAATGTATGCATGTAGATATTATAAGAAGGCTGTAAGAATACTGGCAGTTTATCTTTGCAGTGGGATTATAAGTTATCTACATATGAATTTATAAAAGAGTTCTAATGAATACATTTGCACAAT